GCATTCACTGGGAAAGGAAAGAGTATCAAGAAGCTGCAGCCAGCTTTCAACCACTCTGGGAACAAATAAAGCTTCTCTGTTCCTGTTCTCCAAAACCCTACTGGAAATTTCAAGAATCTGACACTAATTCTCATACGAAAATTGAGTGGTGATGGGAAATAGGGAGGGCTTTGTAAAGATACCAGTATTTTTCTCAAAGTTTGCCTCTCCCTGCTTTAGCATTCTAAGTAGTAGATAGTAAAGACTTAGAAATAGATGTTAATTATTGTATGAGGACAATAGTGTGCAAGAAAAGTAAGTGAAGTTAGTCTTTAGTGCTCTATACGAGACAAAAAACTACTTCAAAGGTATTTGAACATGTAATGAAAAAGCAGATTTTTTTTTATTAATTCTGTCCATTATTCAGCATTGCTGTAAATGGCTTACATTTACTGCAACTTCTGTACAGACGTGTGGTTTTGAATTTACTTGAACAGCGAAATTTAAAATAAATGCTTAACAGTTCCACACAAGATTTTACAGTCCAACATTTCACTGAGTAGGTGAAAAGACAGTTACTACAGAGTTATTCAGCATGAATAAAAAACTACAACTTTTATTTTTAAACAGGAGTCACTTGTTTTAATTTTACACTGTTTAAAATTACTGTGAAAAATAATGAAAAAGCTTTTTAATAATGCCATACACCAGCATAATATAGGATTTGTCCCCATTATATATCTTTTAATATACAAAGTAGAATGTTGACACACTACTGAATCCGTGCTTAGAATGGGAGGGGAGGGTATTTTCATACACAGCCTTTGACCAGAAAACAAAAGCCTCAAAAAGGGTCCTTTAATGTTTTCCAACAACATGAGGCTCTATTCCTTGCCTGAAAGTATTGTTCCTATAAAACAGCAGTAGCATAAAATGTGTTTACCTTTGTACAGCTGATCCCGCTAGTTTTGCTATTGATCAGATGGTGGATGAGGCTCAGTTCGGAAAGGATGGGCTAAAATCTTGAAGTGGTTAAAATACCAAGGTCTTGCCACCCATTTTTTAAAAGTCTATGTCTTAATCCTCCTACACTTTGGAGGTCATATCTGACCCCACAGAAATATTTTAAAAATGTAAAGAAAATTTGGGGCCATTTTATTCTCCATTTATTAACTTTCTCTGTGGTGTTCTACCTCCCTCCTCCTCCACCACCCCTGCTATATTTTTATAACTTTTATTAAAATTAGATTGGTGGGAGTTGACATACTTTGAAATAGTGAAAATTAAATTACTACCACCCGTGTTATCTAATGCTGAAACATTAATTCAGATAAGATGCTGGGTATTCAATTTTCCCTCCAACCCCCCCCCCCCAAAAAAACAGCCCCACATCACTCCCGGAGGAGTAGGATCTAAACAGCCACAAGTAGAATGAGTATCACTACTAGTGCCATTCTGTAAAGTGTACAAAGAGTTCCTGTACTTCTCTAATATGTGTGCAATTCTATCGTAACTGTCATTCTACTGCTCATGCAAGTAGAAGAAAAAAATCTTTGGATTCTGTTCACTTTCCTGTGCCAGTGTAAGTGGAAAACAGTCCTTCTATGAGAGGTAGAAAGCTTCCACATGTAGAAGGGCAACTTTGATTAAGCACTTCAGAGGAAAACGTGCACTTTCAGTACTGTGTTTCTCCAAGTCCAACTAAAAATATTCTGGTTGTATTAGGGATCAGGTCAACAGGAATTTGATCTGTTACTTCCCTCTTTTGGATACTCCTGTGCAACTATAATTAATTTCACTTTTTTCACATTCAACTAGAATCAAATTAATCACTTTTTTTAAAAAAACCCTAGAAATAGGGATATACTTGAATTCAAAAACAAAGTAAATAAAGTGCTTTTGGCAAGTGTCAGAGGATTAAGCTCTTCCCATGGCCAATAGTAAAGTATACATAGCCATGTAAAATTAAGCCCCATCAACTTACTGCATGCTGGACAAAATGGAGATATGGTGAGCTCTCTGATCATTCTGATGCTCTTACACATTTGCAAATAATAGCTTGTGCACAAGCATGACAAAGACTACAGTCTCAGTTACTTTCCACCTTATCATTCACAGTACTAAATATGCAGGTATTTTGTAAAGCTAGGAGGCTGTGTTTTCAAAGACAGCTTGGCACTTGTTCCAACAACTGTGTGCACTATTTACTTCTGCTGCTGTTTTCAAGAAGGAAGTGTATTTTTGGTTTACTCGGGGTGGCAAGATTGGCACACTAATCCTAAACACATTTACTCAGATGTCAGTCCCACAGATTTTATAAGAGTTTGCTTAGGTTTACAGCCTAAGGCTCTGATCCCTGCTTTACTGGTTCAAGAGCTGTAAAATTTCTTTTTCTCTGTTAGCATGCCCTAACATACCCTATGAAAGGCCATTCCTATTAGATCCCATGTGCAAGTTAACATACAGCATGCATATTTGGGGCTATCCAATTATTCCCATGTAAGCATGATATGGCAAGGCACTGAAGAGACAGAAGTCAGAATTTTCCCTGCTTTATTCAAAGTGCTTTTTTTCTCCTAGCACTAAAAAAGACTAGCCAGACGAGAAACAATATGTTTGTTGACACTTATGAACTTTAAATGACTTGTGTTGAACCTTAACAGCATGTTTAACTTGAAAGTTCTTTTCCAAATCATTTGCATTTTTGTAAAAATTTGAAATCCATAAATTGAACAAACACATGAAATTAAAAGAATTAGAGCCTTTCCTCTCCTGCTAAAGTACTCCTCATGTAATCATAGTACTGATTCTGGTATACTTCCATTATATTGATAAACAGCCACACATACATTTGTCCATGCACACCACTAGTTTAAACTCAGGTAACAGGGACTAAAACAATTACTGTGTCACTACCCAAGTTTGATTTTTCTAATTTCCTTTGAAATAAGGACAGGGTCTCATGCTCTATCTTCTCAGGAACCTTATGGAAACCAATACTTGTTAGAATTAGCTAAAAACTGGCAGAATAAACACTTTCATCCAATTGGTTTGCAAACTACTATTAAAATACTCTCTGAAGCTTAGGTTAACTGTTAAACATACATACCATTAGGAGCTTATTAAAGAAGACAGAGAGATTGCTTACCTGTAACTGGTTTTTCTTTTACTGGTCATCTGTGAGTCACACAAATGGGATTCACCTTTGTGCAGAGCACCTTTTTTGGGAACCTTTTAAAGCTTTAGTAAGGGAGCTGGCATTCCTCTGGAAGAGCAATGACGGAAACTCGAGGGAAACTCAAGGGAAATGTTCTCAGCCATGCTGCACTTGCAGCAGTCAGAAGAGAAGCAAGCGGGACGATACTTATCCCACTCCTTGAGACTGTGTGGAGAGGCTGGTCTCTGTGCCTCAGAGAAAGGGCATGAGTGCCTCTGCTCCCTCACTAGAGGTGTAAAAGATCCTGGAGCTGTTATCTGCAGTCACCACAACCATTTGGGGGACTACACACAGGCCATAAAGAATAATTACTTTTGTTAATAGACTTAATATTTTACTCCCATGTATTGAGCATAAACAGCTGGGGATTTTCATTTATAAGCCTAACACTTAAAAAGAGGATTAAGAAGAGGTGTCCAGGTAAAATTCCTACTTTATCATGAACATTTCTGTTGAATAAGAGAAATGTCGTTAGTACACTGTGAATATCCTATGCTCTATATTTACATATTGCTGGTAAATGTATGCATTTTATTGCCAAATTTGACAAGCTGTTTTGCTGTGCTCTGTGAGGCTGTATGTGAAAGTAACCCCAAATATCCAGTCGTGTACATGAATAGGCAAATACCTGCATGAACACACTAATTCAGTTTAATTCTTTTTCTTTTTTTGCAGTGTAGGTCAAATAAACCTGTACAGCTTATGTAAGTTTAGTCCTGGAATGTGAGGGGTAACCAAGCACACCGGCTCGCTTATTATGTCCAACTTTCAGCCTGTGTCTTTACTGATAGAGATCTAATGGATTTCGGTTTCAGCCCCTGGAACTCCCAATGAATGCTGGGAGATTCCTTTAAATGAAACTTTAAAAAAAAGGAAAAGAAAAAGAACAAGGAAAAAACACATAAAACCAGAGTACCCCTTGAGATACTTCAGAACAATGCTGCCAGGATTAATACTTCCAGACATACCATAATTCAACACTTTTGTGACCCCCTAGAAAAAATATATCATGTGTCATGATAAAGCAATCTGTAATCTAAAAACCATTCTTATCATACACTATACAAGTTATTTTACAATCATTTGATAAACTGCTTTTAAAGCTGTAGTAGCCCTTCCATTGTTTTCTTCAAATAGCAACAAATGATACATATTTGAAACTATATCTAAAATATATTAATAGCTTAATGTCCTAGTATTTTGATTTTTAACCCACTTGTTAGGTTATTAAGCCCCACTATTTTCTCTTACAGAAATATTCAGGCCACTTAGAGTAAAAATCATCCCCCCCCTTTTTAGAGTGGCAAAGTATTTTAATTTTTTCCCAGAAAATTCCTAAGGTGCTCAAAGAATGGGCTACTACAGCTTACAAATTGTTTAAAATATAAATCAGTGATGACAAGGAAAATTTCACAAGACATATACGGTTGTTTTATGGCACACTAGTAGTTTGATACAGAAGGGACAGAGCTGCACAGAGACTAAGTTCTACTTTAAACCACAAAATCAGTAGCGGAATCTTCCTGATCTCCAGGAAACAAGATGAAACAGTTGATGACAACAAGGTGAAAAACGTGTGTGTGTAACCATACACAGGTTTGGGATTTTTATTTTCCACAACTATGAGGATTCCCCACCCCCCGTAGTTTGGTCTATTTAATCTTCTGCATATCTTATTTGAAACAAAATCTTTTAAAGAATTCTTACAATAAACATAAAATATTGGGCATAATTACAACTATTTTGTAAGTCAATAATATTTATGTTTATATATATATATATATATATGTATGTATGTATGTATGTATTTATATAGAAAGTATGTATACATGTACATATATATATAGTTCCTGACTGTTAAAAGTCAATGGAAATTTAGCCATCAACTTAAAATGGTGTCAACTGTATACACGTCTGCCCCAATCCAGTGAGTGATCAATGAGCAGAAAGAAAATTCTGCTTGTGGATCTGCTCTACTGGAGTGCAAAAAGCTGCCGTAGAGGTAAGCCCCTGCTGTTCAGTACCCAGGGTACTCCTGATCTGTGCACACATTGTGTAACAGATGAATACCACTAATAGCTCTAAATCAGTTCTGGTATCCCTTGCCTCCTTTCAAACAGACGATCAAATCTGTCAGTGGTGATCACATCCTTACATAGAGGGGAGAAGTCTCAAAAAGTGGCAGCAGAAGTCTGCTCTTAATTTGGTAGAATCCAGCAATTCTAAGCACCCCACAGAGGTAAATGCACAACTTTGCACTTTGTGAAAAATGATGGTCACTTATATTGATCTCCTATTTTTTTTTAAAAAAGCACAGGTTTTGTGGCTTTTAAGTTGTGTCTAAGGAGAACATTAGACATGCCACTGGTTGTGCATATCAGTTTTGTTCTGCTAACTATAGCTGCTCTGGATTGTGGCCACTGTATACATATATATAATATGCACCAATACATACTTAAGTACACACGCATATGGCAATAAATTGAGTATGGAAAAAAGTTAATTTCTCCACATAGAAGTAAACCTTTTAAAAATTATGCATATTTTCCTGAAAGTTTCCTGATGGGCGGTCAAGACTGATCTTTTTACTGACAATCTAGCCCAAGATTCTTACAATTATGGCTATCGCATTAAATGGAAATACCTAGGTTGTTTTCTTAAAAAAAGTTTACACATCTGTTTAAGACAGAGCTAGTTTTCTAGTAGCTCAAAGAACATTTGACAAATATCAAAAGTATGCATTTCAGATTTGATTTGGAATACATTTCAATCCCTACTCCCACCCCCACCCCCCTTAAAGAAGGCTGAATTTATCGGCCAAATTGATTTATATAGAAGGGTCACTATGACAGTCTTGATCAAGTTAGAAAAGTCAACCTATATTCACATGAGTATATTCAAAGATTAATATCTAGAGGTCATTAAGCTATGAGCTGCCCCACCTTAAAAAACAGCTGTACAATAGGCATCTTGAAGTTTTACAAAATTATGTAAGAAAAAATGAGCAAGCTTTCACTGTATATAAAGTTAAAGGAAATTGCTAAAACCAGACAATAATAGCTATAAAAGGCACAACTTCCCTTTTCCAATATACAGTTGTAAACTTTCTTCATGTTAACATGCACAAATCAAAAATGCTACCTTAACTATACAAAAAATCTATACCAAAACAAAAATCTAGAAAATTTTATCCAGCCAACTTGCAGAAATTCCTAGCAGAATGTTGACAATGTAGATTTTGAGCTTGACACCGCTGGTTTTGGTGCATCCTATACTGCCAATATGGTGGTGTAGCACATGGATGAAAAAACCTCAACCCATATTTCCTTCGTTTTCTTCTTCCTGTAATCATTTAGTTAGAAGGGGCTGCTTCTGAAACCTAGGTCTTGGCCCTCTGTAAACCACATGTAGTGCATAATTACAAAAACAAAACAAGAACACCCAAATATAGTTGCAAGGACAAAATTAACAAGTCTTTTAGTTTATAAAAAAGAAGCTATAATGACTTTTTTTCTTTTCTTAAGGCAATCTTTCTGTATTAAGGCAGTCATTTCTGATGAAATAACAGTTTTTTGATATTTCCATTTGAATATTTTGGTAACTGATTGCTGATGATTTCTGCCAACATTTCTGGAAACTCAACACTCATGGATTTATCCAAAAACGTTTGGAAGCAAAAGCTTAGAAGATTCTCAACCACCTGCAAATTATAAGAGAGAAGGATGAAGCCAACTTTCCAATATACAAAAACAAACATTGTTGCTGTCTTGTGCAATGGTTTAAATCACAAGACTAAATCATCAAGATTTCCCTACCTGTAGTAGTGTATGTCAACACTAAACAGTGATAGACCGCAATGTAAATTAAACTGAAAATGAACATTAGTTTGGTTCAGATATAACAGCAAGCCATTGTCTGCCATCATGAGGAAGAGGTGGGGTAGGGGAAGAATCTTTGGACTTGTTCTCTGCCCTTCTTTACCTTCCCCCCATGCACAACCAAATAATTCCTAGGTTCATGCAAATCAGAATTCTAAACAAAGGTTTATTCCTAGCTAGAAGTCCTGGTTTCGCAGGGAAAGCATAAACAATTTGTTTGCTTGAAGGAAACAGAAAACTATGGTTTTCTACAAACATGGAAATCTCAAATTATCTATGCATGTGAGGAATGGGAAGCAGGGAGTATGGGATCCTAGATTTCAAGGTTCAATTTATATAGCAGAAAACCATGGCTTACCATTGCCTCTGCTATAATGTAAACATTACACCAAAGCACAGTGTGCACTAAAGACAATTTAGAACCCAGAGCACCATCTGACACTGACACAAGGGACTGTAGCCAGAAAGGAAAACAGCTGGCTGTCTTCCCTATGTGTATATACACAGGCCTCTTTGGCTTCTGGCCTGTGATTACATATCTACCTATGTGTAATGCATTGTGGCACTTCCTACCAAACACAGCACAGCCAGTCATCTCCCTTCAGTGTCAAAGATTACCCCAACAATAAAAGGAAAAACATATACACCCTTCTTCTGCGTTTCCTTTGATCTGACAGTAGAATACTGCATAACAGGGTCATTGGGTTTTTTTCTTCTCCTGACTGTACATCTCAATGCAAAGCATTTACTCTGGTTGAATCAAGTGTTAATCTCTACAAAATACTGCAGGTGGGAGACTATATATTATTTATTTATTCATTCATTCATTCAATTTATACCCCACCATCTCCACCAAGGCAGACTCAGGGTGGCTTACATAAAAGTAAATACATAAGTAACAATTAAGTTATCATAAAACCATCTAAAAACTGTTCATTATAAAACAGTTTATAAAACAGTGTTTGTAATCTCCCCAGACCTCAGGTGCCATAAAGTTATCCTGTTGCTCTTGCCTTCATTGCACTCTCTACTGCAGCACTTTGATTTACAAGGGTCAACACCACCCTGTCTAGGTGATGGGACTTTTCCTCACACAATACCAGCTGCTAGTCATAATTTTCATCCGCACAGAATTAACGAAAAGCAGTCTACATGCCATAAAACTTACATCATGCATGGAGTCCAAAAGTTTTGTCAGTTGATAAAACCGCTGCCAGTTCTGACTAGAGTTCCCTTCTCTCTTCACGATGGCTTTCCCCAGCTCTTTGATGTAAGTCATACGAATTTCTTCAAACAGGGCTTGGCTCTTCAGGCCCTCCTTGGGAACTAAAATATAGGATTCAGAGTAAAATTTATACAGGCAAAAGAGAGGGGTGATTTTCAATGAACCTCCCTTCCTGAGGCAGACCTCCAACTCCCCCTTAGCTTGTCTCTAGGGTTCCCCCGTCCCCCAGGAGCAGTATTGGGGTGAGCCATTCTGAGCTGCAGTGGGAGGGTGGAGAAAGCTACACTTCACTGACAGAAATCTCTTTGTCAGTGGAAATTTCCAGTGGATCTAAGCCAATGCTTTAATCCTCCTGGAAAATAAACTCTCTGAGCCCATATAAAAGTTGACTACTTTCATTTTCAAAGGTAGGTTATGCATTCACCTACCTGTAGAGAGAAGCAGCAAAGTTTTCATACAGAGATATTCTTCATATGAAACTTGAAGCCGTGCTAACTCATTAGTAACCATCAGTAAACGTTTGCATTGTTCATACATGCAGGGTAAATTCATTCTCTGCCTGAAAAAGAGAGAGTTCACACTCATCAATATCCGTACAAAGGCCAATCCTTTTCTGGATAGAATTGTCAAGGATAAACACCAGCAGGGAGAGAAATACTGGGAACATTTCTGCCAGCTGTAAAGAGTCCAAGCTGAGTGTCTGTTTCCCTTTCTGTTGCAGGTATGAGAGCCTCTTGGCCCATAGCTTGTGGCTCAAAGTCTGTAGCCTTGGAGAAGCCAGCTGAGTGGATCCAGCACCAACCCAAGATGCAGCTTACTGTATTTTTTGGTCTTGTTTATTTAAATTGTACTTTTGTACTGGGAGAAAGGCAGTGTCGCAAATAAATAAGCATATAATTAGTATTCCAACACCCACCCACCCCCAAATAGGGATGTCAGTTGTTTTGGAGCAGGGGTTTATCAGGAAGCATACCCCCATGCATTATGTAACGTAGGGATGTTCATACAGTCAAAAACAGCCAGATCTTAAGCATTCTTATTCAGAAGTAATTTCAGTAGACTTACACTCAATAATGAATGTGCACAGAACTGCAGCCAAGCTACTATCAAGCTTACACAAATAAACAATGCCTAGTTGCACCTTGAGGTTTTGAACTGAGATCCCAGAAAAGATGCTGTTCTCTGCTAAGCTGCAGGAAGAGATACACATCCTTAACAGTCATGTTTTATTTAATTTAGATTTTCTATCCAATTCAAACCAACAGAGCAGTTCACAATAACAGCTAAAACAAGCTAGTTCTCTGAGACATAAACAAAACAGAAAAGCAGTTGAAGATCAATAAACAGTTCAGCTTAAAAACAGTAGGACAGAAGCATAATAAAATAGTTAAACTGGTAAAACCAGATGAACCCAGTTAAGCCTTCCAACAGCATATGTTAATGGGCTTGATGACCTTTCCAGGGGAGGGAATTATGAAGTAAGATCCCCTGCTCTCTGTGCTTGTCAGTGTAACCTCAGGCAAGGCCAGCACCTGGAGTCTATCTTACCTGGCACGGAAAGGGTCCTCTAACTGAGGTCATTTAAAGCACTGAAAGTCAACACTAGCACTCTGAAGTGTGCCAGGAAACCAGTAAGGAGATTGTGCAGTTTGTTAAATATGGTTGTCTCGTGTCTCTCCTAGCTCCCTCAGGTAGGCTGTTATATTTTTGTAATCACTGGTATTTCTGAATAATCTTCACAAGATACCCTCCAAGTAGATCTCATTACAGCACCCCAATATTGTGTCCTGGTCACTTCTCCTCTAGGTAGCAGTTGATGCATCAACTGAAGTTAGCAGAAGGCACACTCCACAGATGCTATCTGAGCATCCAAGAGTAGAAACAGGTCAAGGAACACAGGAAACTGTATTCTGATCTTTCACAGGAAGGGAAAATTCTATCCAGATAAAATCAACTCCCAGACCACCCACAATCAGTATTTACATCTTGTCTGTACTGAACTTCAATTTTATTAACTTTTGGGAAATCCATCATGGACTCCAGACACCTGACTGAGAACAACTGTCCATCATCACCATCTGAGATCTTCCCGACTGCAAAGCAGTGTTCCCAAATCTGGGAAACCCAGATTCTGATCCCACTTAGAATCACAGAATCATAGAGTTTGGAAGGGACCTTCAGGGTCATCTAGTCCAACCCCCTGCACAATGCAGGAAATTCACAAATACCTCCCCCTCCACACCCAAAGTGACTACTGTTCCACACCCAGAAGATGACAAAAAACCTCCAGGATCCCTAGCCAAACTGGCCTGGAGAAAAATTGCTTCCTGACCCCAAAGTGGTGATCAGCATTTCCCTGGGCGTGTAAGAAAGGGCCACAAGAACTAAGCACTGAGACAACCCTTCTTGCCCTCCCTCTCATGATCTGCCTAAGCTCACAGAATCAGCATTGCTGTCAGATGGCCATCTAGCCTCTGTTTGAAAACCTCCAAAGGAGAGCCCACCACCTCCTGAGGAAGCCTATTCCTAATGTTTAGCCAAAAACTCTTCTGATTTAATTTCAACCTGCTGGTTCTGGTCCAACCTTCTGGAGCAACAGAAAACAACTCTGTACCATCCTCTATATGACAGCCCTTCAAGTACTTGAAGATAGTTATCATATCACCTCTCAGTCCTCTCCTCTCCAGGCTAAACATACCCAGCTACTTCAACCTTTCCTCATAGGACTTGGGTCTCCAGACCCCTCACCATCTTCATTGCCCTCCTCTGGACACATTCCAGCTTGTCAATATCCTTCTTCTTTTATATATATATCTTTTATATATATATCTCCTTATATATAATTGAATAGTGGGTGCCAAAGTTCTAATTCTAAAATGCACTCCCTTAGTGTATGGCTGATGGCACTGCTCCTCAGCATATATCGCCACCAATCAGAAGGCAAAGCCCGGGTCCCGCCCACACCACAACTGCGGCGACAACCTGGTCTTTTGCATATGGAAGCTGATTGGACTTCAGTCCATTCCACACCTCAAACTCCCCCCCCCACAAGGCAGTTGGGATTTTCAGTTGCATAACATCCCTCATAGGGGAGAGGAGAATGGGTAACAATGGTTACCACTCTCCAGGTGAGGGCTACAGATAACTCAAACATACAAATGCTCTTCAGGTAGCAGAGATCAGTCCCTCTGGAGAAAACAGTGGACTCTGTCATTAAACCCTGCTGAGGTCGCCACAGGAAACTGACACTGTTTGCCCAAAGCCAAAGCACTCTCCCAGAGCCTCTTCCTAGATCCCGTTGTATTTATTTCCGCAACGGGCATTATTTCTAGTAGCATTATAAAACACATTAGCAATTTCTGTAATTATTTATTTATTTATTCATTTATTTATTGGATTTATACGCGATACCATTACTTCACGTGATCAGGACACTATACTTCTGTTGATAGAGCCCAAAATCACATTTGCCTTTTTAGCTACTGCATCACACTGCTGACTCATGTTCTGTGTATGGGAGGGGGAAGGAAGGAAAAAGAGTGCATGTGTGCACAGCAGAGAAAAGCTCCTTCACGCTTCCTCCTCTGGGGCCGCCGCTGCGTTGCCTAGCCTCTCTTCCCTCGGTTGGAGAGGGAGTCCCATGGCACCTTCAAGACCAACAAACTTTTATTCGAGGTATAAGCTTTCCTGTGTATGCATACTGAGGGGGGGGGGGGGGAGAGAAGGGGGAGAGATTCTTCTGACAAGCCTGCTCTGCTGTTTACTGTGAGACCTGATCTCTCTCTCTCTCTCACACACACGCACACACAAACACAAATGTTAGAAAAGGAAGGGGGCAGAAAAGAGATGCATCTGGAATAATGGGAATTAAGGGGAAATTATTTTGACTCATTCTGAAAAGGGTTTTAAAAAACAGATTAGGTTTGTCTTTGCCTATCTGGGATTTTCTTTTTAAAAAGACCCTGGTTATGAATTACAACCCTTGGATTGGATTCCATGGAAGCAGATGGCTAAGTATTTAAAAATACATTTATAGTTCCATATATACCAGTGCAACATGTGGTCTCCCTCTCTATCCTCCCACCTCCCTTTCTTCACATTAACCCCCCCCGCCACTTTTAAAACTTTTTATTATCCAGTCCGAAAGCAACACATTATTTCATTTTGAGCGATCCCCTTTCCAGTTCTAACAGATGAAAAAATAATAATAAAAGAAACCTAACATCACAGCATGTAATCTTTATTGGTGGAAGGGAGCAAGTTTATATCTTTGGTACCTCATGTTGCATTTTATGGCACACATGGTCCGGCCCAGCAAAGTGACATTTATGTCAGATCTGGCCTTCGTAACCAATTGTGTTCGACACCTCACACCTAGACCCTTTTGCACATACTACTGCCAAGGCAAGTCTCCCCCATCCTATAATTATGCATTTGATTTTTCTTACCTAAATGCAGAACTTGACATTTATCCCCACTGAAATTCATTTTATTTGTTTTACCCCAGTTTTCCAGCCTTTCAAGACCATCCTGTATCCTGACTCTGTCTTCTACCATATTGCTACCCCTCCCAATTTAGTATCATCTGCAAATTTAATAAGCATTTCCTCTATTCCTTCATCCAAATAATGTATAAAGATGTTGAACAAAACAGGTCCCAAGGCCAGATCCTTGAGGCACTCCAAGTGGAGGAACCATTAACAAGCACTCTTTGGATGCGATCTGTCAACCAGTTACAGATCCAAACCACATTTTTCCAATTTGTCAACAAGAATATTATGTGGAACCTTATCAAAAGCCTTACTGAAATCAAGGTAAACTATGTCTACAGCATTCCCCTGATCAAGCAAGGTAGTAACTTTCTCAAAAAAAGAGGAGGTTAGTCTGACATGACTTGTTCTTGAGAAACCCACGCTGACTCTTAGTAATCACCGCTGTCCTTCCTAAATGCTCAAGGATTGTCTATTTGATGATTTGTTCTAAAACGTTCCCAGGTATAGATGTCAAGCTGACAGGTCGGTAGTTACCCGGATGCTCCTTTTCCCCCTTCTTGAAGATGGGGACAACATTTGCCCGCCTCCAGTCTTCTGGCACTTCACCTGTTCTCCAAGAATTCTCAAAAATAATGGACAGAGGCTCAGAAATTATATCCATGAGTTCTTTTAGTACCCTTGGATGCAGTTCATCTGGCCCTGAGGACTTAGTTTCATTAAAGAAACTAGGTGTTTATGTACTACCCCATGCCGATCTTAGGCTGCAACTCCCTTCCCTCATCATGTGTTCTGTTTTTGCCCTGTTGAGCACCATTTCCTTAGCAAGAGAAGACTGAGGAAAAGTAGGAACTAAGCAGTTCTGCCCTCTCTTCATCACATTACAACTTGTACCACAGAAGCTAAGTGGGTGGCCAGTTATCAGCCTAACCAACTTCACAGGATTGTTGTGAACTGTCATGATCTGGGCTGTGCCAGTAGAGGCCTAGTAGGCCCAAGGAGCCTGGCTAGCAGTAGGTGAGGCTGGGCTTACAACTCCCAGAAGCCCCTGGGAGATTTTGGAGCCAAA